CCAAACATAGCATATATGTATAAATATGGGTCGTATATGGATAGACACATTAACGTAGCTAAGAGGTCACGAGTTGATGATATTCATGAATAATANTTGGACTACGAATCACGAGTTGTATAGTGGTTTATGTTTAATGGTTTTATATGTAGCTGAATCACGGAATGTAGCTTTGCATGATGTGCAGGGAAAGTGTGTACGTACATTGTTGGGATAATTTATATATATATATTTTGAAATATTAGCAATTTGAGGATGAGTACACAACGAGAATGGGTATATGTGTAATACGGACAGCTTGTGAGCTGTTGGAGTTTGCTGATGTGAGTGAAAATGGACAAAATTGCTTTAATGTTGTGTGTCTTATGCTTCGTCTAGTTGGAACATTGTTTCGTAAAAATGGAGATATATATGTAGTGTAGGGCATCAATTATTGATGCAAATTAACTCAATCTTCACCACAAATTAAGGCCACAGGCATATATGATATATAGCATATATAAGAGAGATGTAATTTAATTTATTGATATCAATTATATTCCAATGGACATTATTATGTTCAAAGCAATACAATTATAGATATTTTGAAGTCTTTTTTATGTCAAAACACTGGATACTGATAAGTGATAATCTCATTGACACTGCAAAAGTAAGAATAGGAATTAATAGGATGCTACTTGGAGAGAGAGAGAGAGGTGAGAAAATATTGTGGAATAAAAATGTTTAGGTACTGAAGAAAAAATGGACCCTTCAATCTGCACATGCAGGGTGGGCCATCATGTAAATGTAATGTAACAACATGTGACTACTTTCCCACAAAATGTTAAATGTGTGGTAAATTATTATTTTGTCATGGCACATCGGTTGGGGTCAAAACTCTGAGGATGCAACATGAAATGGAATGGTAAATTATTATTTTGTCATGGCACATCGGTTGGGGTCAAAACTCTAAGGATGCAACATGAAATGGAATGGATGCACTTATATAATAAGAATTAACATTTATTTAAAATAGTAGGTCAACTTATGGTTAATGTCGAATTTGCATTAAATATTTTTCAAAACCGGTAAGTTTTTGTCCTTTTCACACTTCTCATTAATTATGTCATTTTCACACTTCTCATTAATTATGTCATTTTCACACATCTAATTAAATCATTCCATATGAGCTTTTATCGTTAAAATGTATAGCGATCTGTTATGATCTTATCCTATTGATATTTCCATGAAGTGTCCTTATCGCGTTCTATTTTTTGGTAACCACTTTATCAATAACCGGATATTTGGTTAATGATAGCACACGTCTTTATTTCAAGGAGCGAATATTCTTTGACCTTTAATTAATCTGAACTGATTGACTTGACTTTACAATTTTTAAAAACTCTTTTTTTAAAAACTCTTTTTTTATCGCACGTTGGTCTTTTCCTGAAGAAACCCGTTTTTAGTCACGGCCAATTATATGTTGCTGCTTCGCGTGTAAATAATAGAAGGGGGTTGAAAATATTAGTTTGTGATAATGAGGAGTTATCAAATAATCAAACTCATAATGTTGTGTACAAGGAGGTTTTTAATAATTTATGATTGTTACCGAACTTTTTATGATTCAACAATGTTCCTATTTATTTCAATGATTTCATTTCGATCCTAATGCACGTGAGATTATATTATTCTTCTACATTTTACATCCCGTGCATCGCACGGGTTACATACTAGTTTTGATAAAATGATAAAAATGAAAATAGAGTTTCTTTTGGATGGAAAATGAATTGATTCTTACATTATAAATGAATATAATACTAGTACAACATCGATGATTACACGAGTGGTAGTTAAAAAATTTATCCTGAAATTCTTAGAAAACGTGATAATTTTTTTTTAATTTAATTTTCAAATAATTTTTTAAAAAATACATTATTATTTATATTTAAAATTATATTTTTTACTTGTACGATGTTTCGGTCTTATATTATATTTTTTTTTCTAATTCATACGTAATGAATTTATAAATTTTTTTTGAATTGATATATAATTTTATTAATTTTTAATCAGTATTAAAGATGAACTTATTAATTTTATAATTAATAAAAGTAAAATTCTTTATTTGATATCTTATATATATAAAAATTTGATAAAAAATACAAAAGTTCTTAACTTTTAAATTATGATTAAGTTAGTCAAGTGTTTTATAATTTTTCTAAGTTCTAATAATAAGTATGGATAGAATACATATCTACATGGATTTGCTCCGAATTATACTCGTGTATATACATAAATGTAAGTTTTGATTTTACGTTTTAAATCATTCTTACAAACTTAAATCATCAATTATTTATATTTAAAATGACACTTATCACTTGATAACTCTGAAACATTTATATATATTTGAAGTTTAAGTTGATAAAGTGTTATATAATTTTAAAATTGTTTTGATACAAAAAAAAATACATTACTACATGTAAAAGACTGATAAATGAAAAAATTTAACAGTGTGTTTGTGAATATCAACAAAATGATTAAGAAAATAGAAGGAAATGAATGGAATAAATAAAGTCAAGCATGAAATAATACGCTCTTCTTAAGACAAAATAGTTATGAATTACCAAACTGTTTTAAGTTCAAGGATTTTCGAGTTGTGTGTAATGAAATAACCAACATTGTAGAACTCTCAAGAATGAAACGAATACAATAAACACAAGACGGAGTATAAACTTTGTAAAATAATGCAATGAGTTTATAAAGTTCAAGTTGATGATGATGACATTAATGAGTATTTATATATGTCCAAAAACATCACCAGTAGTCTTATGTCTAATGACGCCGTTTGGAATCAGCGACCTCTTGACACCTGTAGGTGCATTCAGGTCGTGGCCCCATCGAAACTTCCAAACATTGCAGGTCGCGACGGTCGGTCCTAGTTATCGCGAGCGCGACGACCATTGCTGGCGTCACAAACTCAATACCTATATACCCAAACTCGTCCATTTTTTATTCTAACCAATCTATATCTATATATATAAAATAAGAATTACCATTTTTTAAAAATGGTAAGTCAAAATCTTAGTCAACAAGTTTTGCATTAATTACTTGCCATTAATGGTAATAAATATATTTTTTTTTAAAGCTTCCCCGTGCAATTAATGTTTTCCAAGATTTTTGGGATGTTGTTATTTTGTAATTGAACGATGCACTGATTTTGCGTTACAAAATTTTATCCTATTAAAAAATCTTATCCCATTAATTCTCTTTAATATAATACTTATTTTATATTAAGAAATAATAATACCACGGATTTTGATTTTCAATCATTCACAAATTAAAGAATCTTATAGATTAAATCTTACCAGTTATTTAATAATAAGAAAAAAATCGGCCTCTTCAAAACGCGTATTTTATTTAAAATCATGAATACCTTGCTCAATCAATTCTCCAAAATATAAGTTCGAATTATTGTCTAATAAAATTTTTTTAGGGTATCTACTATATAAAAAAATAATTCTCCAAAATATAAGTCTTAAAATTTTTAGGGTATCTACTATATAAAAAAGTTCGCGCATGTTGTATTTAGGGTATCTACTATATAAAAAATTAGCGCATGCATTATTTTTTTATGGTATTTATAATTACTAATATTTTTGTTTAAAACTATTAATGTTTGTTAGACCAACGGTTTTTTGGATTACAATATATAATAGTGGATATAACTCTAAATATATTTTTATATATAATATTATATATAATTAAACATGTTGTTTGAGCAATTTTTTTTACACATTCGTTAAAGTGTACATATATAGAGAGAAATGTTAACTTTAAGTGATTTTAGATTTTTTTTTTATAAAATAGTTTAGAAAAAAATTAGGTAATTTCATATTTTTCAAGAATAATATATAATATTTTAGATACTTTTACACACTTTATATAATACTTTAGGTATTCTTAATGTTTTAAAAATATTTAGACAAATTTTTACATATTCTCTAGATTAAGAAATTGTTTTTCTTACAAAATAGTTTAGAAAAATTTTAGGTGACTTCACATATATTTCAAAAATAATGTAAAATATTTTGAACACTTTTTACGTATGTGATATAAGATTTTGTATTACATAAAAAGAGAATAAGAGATAAAGAAGGGTAATTTTAGATATAAAATTCTATTTTATTTGTTATAATTTACATGGAAGTTATGTTATAATTATCGATATCATCTCACTGTCTTGCTTTGCTTTTTTTTACTTCGTTTCGCGAGACAATATCTCTTATTACTCATAATATTTTATATAATTTTAAACATTTAGACAATTTTGTAACCATTCTATCTATGTATACATTACATATACATATACATATGTCAAATATAAATAGTTTTAGGCATGTTTTTTTTATAAAATAGTTTAAAAAACTTTTAAATGACTCCACATCTTTCAATAATGATATTTTAAATTTTAGATACTTTTACATATGTTATATAATATTTTAGACGTTTTTAATACTTTAAACATACATTTTTTCAAATTCTTTTATACAAGATAATTATATATTGTTTACAACTCATATACGATAAATTATATTACATATTATATTCAGATCTTTAATTTATAATTATTAGTTAATATTATTTAACCTCATCTTTAATTTATAATCATTAACTAATATTGTTTACCCGTGCATCACACGGGATACGCACTAGTTTTTTAATAACTTAAACTCAATTTTAAGTTATAAAATTTCCCACATATTCCAACTTAAAGTTGATATGTCATTCAACCCAAAATGATTTTGGGATTCTTTTAAATCTTTTATTTATGAAAAATAAAACGGTAAACTCAGTCAATTTTTTTATTTTATTTTATTTTATTTTTTTATGCTGAGTGTTGAATAATGTTCATTTGTTGAACTATGTATAGTAATATTTGATTTTTACTTTTTAATTGTGTTAATAAATTTAATGAGAAAAGCAAAAGAATAGATGAATAGATTTTTTTTAAAAAAATAATTATNCTGTAGATGGTGGTACTGAAACAATTTTACAGACTTTAAAGACTAATAAAAGAAGAAGAAAACAAAAATTCCAAAATGAGCACTCAAATACATGGTACAACATTGTAGCAAAGAATGAAAGAAAGCACACCGGTCCTCAAAGCATATAATCAAATTACACCCACAAATATCGACAAATGATAACCATACAATTTTGGTTCTCACATTCTACCTTTTTGGTAAATCCATAATATGTAGGTAGAGCTTCACACAGGAAAAAAAAAAAATATCTTCGACAAGGGAAATCACGGACACCTCAGATTTTAAGAGAAGAGGAGACCCCCAAACACAACCGCAAAAGTTCATTGTTACATCTCTGAGGGAGATGTGAAGTAGATAAATGAAAAGTGTACTCAACACCGAAAAAATAACCCAAGAATTGGCAAACGTATTTCGCTTGATCAGAGCCTCACTTTAGACATGATGGGAGTAAAGGCCCATGGCAGACAAAAGCGAAAACAACATAAATTATTACCAGAAGAAGGAATATCAATGCAACCCTGCCGAACAAAAGAAAAAATAAAAGCATTAATTGTTTAGAATATGAATAAAAATTCTGAATGCGACTTCAGAGTTATCAATCCTCTATGTAAACTTCCTGAGAACAAGAATGTCTTTCAAGCATTTGATTGAGCATATCCACAGACAAAGGGGAAAAAAGTCGAGCGAAGTCACAGTCCATATCAGAAGGAGCTTGGTAAATTTAATCAAAATATTGTTTATGTTCCTCAGTTTTATAATTATTCTTGGAAATTATTAAATGAACTTATCAGAAATAAGCTTTCTTATCCTTCACCATTTAAATTTTAAAAATAGAGATGCAGTTGAGTTAAACCAACTTACGTCAGCTTGACATTTCTCCACCATACAGTGTTTCTGAAGCGTCGAGCCTGCTTTCTGAAGCGCAAAGTGTTTCCTTGCATATTTGCTGTCTTATCAACCAACAGTTCAAGCCGATCACCTCTTTCCAGAACTTTATCAATATTCTCAATCATGACATTTCGCACCTGTAACCAATAACACCCAAAAATTTATTAGCAGCACACAGAGCCCAAGGCAAGTAGGTAAGCAAAAAGGATGATATTACAGCCATTTCACTAGTAGCAGAAAATTAAGATGCTGAAAGAACACTAGTCTATGACTCCTTTATCTTTATACACACAATAGACTATGACTAGCTAATGCATTTCACCATTTAGGGAAACCTATATAAAACTCCAAACACAATGACATTCTGAAAAGTAAGAATTGGACGGAAGAAAAGTAGGTGTCTCAACAAGAAAAAGTAAATCATTTTAATTTTTTTTTGGTTCAAATCGTTAGTCACCTGGCTCATTTCACCTCTGAGTCGGTTTATACGGTCAGCATTTGGATCATTTGAGAAATACTCTATCTGCTGACTGAGGACCCTAGAAAATTCATCATTCATCCCATATGCTTGAGCAGACAATACAGCTCGGCCGTAGGTCCTAACAAATCTTTGATGAATTTCTTCAAGAAATGCAAAAGGAATTCTCCCTGAGTAATACCAGAGCATAACAAAAAGATTTGGTCAAGCACAATGGCACATGCATGACACTACAAGGAGGGCATTATTATGTAATTATGCAATGAAACAAGAAGGCTCAAAATGATTCTGCAACGAACAAAGCAGGGTCAGCATGCTAGCATCCCTCACAATCTCCAGCCAAAAAAGCAT